ATTTCTATAAAATTTAGTTTCACAATTTTTTCTTAATGGATATCTATCAATATAAGATTGTAAGCAAGCATTGTTTTCCAGTTTAAGTTGGTGAATGTTGCCATAATCCTTGCCTTCAGTTCATCTTTGGTATTACAAGGAGTTTTTTGGTCACTTGCTCAACTGCGCCCCACACATAATAATCAAGGGGGCTGCAGTCTGTGAAGTTAGGTGGCCAGATGTAAGGAGTGATGTGGTTGCAGAAATTGTCTGACTGCCATGACTGGATTCTGCTTCTGTGACATTGTGCAGAGTCCTGTTTCCAGACATAGGGTCTTCCAGCAGCCACCCTCTTGGCCCAGGGCAGCACTACCTCCTCAAGGCATGATGTAGGCCTCCAGGTTGAGTCAGAGGCCCTGTGGGAAGATGAATGGAGGCATAATGTTGCCATCACTAGTGATCACTCCAAACACCAGGATGCTGACTCGATATATCATCCAACTCTTTTAGAATCCTCTGCATTGTCCTCAGATTGACACTCACTGTTGAAATGTTCATATTGGAGCTTCTAGCATGAATGCCAAGCAGTACAGCCTGCTGTCTCCAAATTTAGGGCAGAGTGAATTGTATCATGGTGCTCTTTTTCTCATGGACAGTGCCTAACTGACCCTACTATACTGTGCAGTTGATAAAATCAAATAGCTCAATTTACAAGACACAAATTCACCAGGCAACTGAAAGTGTTTTTTCACTAGAGGAAAATAACTAGCCTAAATTGAGCTACTAGGGCCAAACCCATTTGGTCCAGAAAGGGGAGACACGTTAATCCAACAAAGCATTAGTTTTTATAACCAAATTGATGTAAGTTCAATCCCTATACTGAGTAACAAATATTGTCCAAAGAATAGAACATATAGTGATTTTCCAAGTGTAGCTTAGATATGGTGCAAGGCTGAAAGTATGAAGCACCCAGTGAGGATCGAACTAACTACTCTGTCATAATTGTCCTAGCAAGACAAGCTTGCTAACCATTACACCACCTCGAGATACCCAAGAACTTAACAATATATATGACAATGATTATCTAACACATTAATGAACACCAAACCTCTCCTTTCTTTTCTGAAAAAAGTTTTCTTTAAAAAGATAAATTATTTTCTCCAGCTACTCTAAAAGACAAGTGTAAAATTTTCAAGATAAATTTGAATTTTTTTTAAGTAGGGAATTATCCTTACATGCCTTTCAATTTAGACTAGGATACTAGTTTTGGTTATTATACTCAACATTTTGGCTGTTGTACCCTCTAACCTACTACAGGTCATTGTACTAGATAACCTTCTTGAAATTTTGAACAGAACCTTTAAATGAATCAATATAAAGTCTTTGTAGTCTGTTGGTTTATTACCAAAATCAGAGTATATATGACTTTTTAGCACTACCCAATCCAGAGATTGAACTAAAAGCTGACAGGAAACTAGATACTTTTACCAACACTTTAATCCACTAGGTTATGTATCTCTGTATCAATTCAGCTTTCAAAACAAACTTCAAAGTAAGAACTACACTGAAAGCCTAATATTAGATTCCACAAGCAGGAAGCAAAGAATAGAGAACAATAAAAATCACTCATGTTAGTCAAGTCTCATTTTCAGAGGTTATGTACACTAACTGTATCATAGCAATTTGTCACATTTGTTCTTGGTAAGTTTCCAATTACGATGAAAAATAAGAATAGAATATATATTTTAGGGAAAAAATTGTTCTTTTTTTTGTAGCATACAAATATTTTTCATGTCCCAACAATATAAATTATGATTTGACATTGAATGGTTAGAAATGGCATCTACTAATAAGAAAGATATTTTTAAATAACAGAAAAGTATATCCACCCTGACTTTTAACATGAAGGAAGGAAAAAAAAATAACTTAAACATTCCCTAGAGACTGACAGGTATGCAAAAAAAAAAAGAAAAAATCATTTTCTTTATATAGCAAACAGACAAATTTATATATCTCTGAAGGAAATATTATTTCTAATACCTATTATTTTTGAATGATTTAAAAAATGAATAAGTAAAAAAAAAAAAAATTTTTTAATGATTGCAAAGCATACAATTATTAACTATTATTCTTAAGTGACATTGAAAATCTGGATAAACTCAAAGCAGCTATGATGGATTAGGACAACTGGAAACCATGCACTGAGATGTGAGTGGAGACTTGGCCAAACTAACACCTTTAGCACTCTGTATTATTAATATTACTTCCCTTTCCATGGCCTCTCAATTGCAATATCCTTATTGTCAATTTCACTCAAAGTTGTTTTCTGTTGCCATAACAGGATATGACAACACAACTATGAAATTCAAACACACTATTGTTCAGAAATCAGTCATCTTTAGTGGTATTATAAACTTTCTGTACAGCAAATAAGGTTAACTTCATCAATTGCGTAATGAATTAAAAGAAATCATTACTAAATCAAAAATATCTGAAGGTCAGTTGTTAATGTATAAACAAGGAAGACTAAAATAACAGGATCAATTTTAATTAAATTTGAATAAATAAAACATTTTCTTCAAATATTTCTTGATTTTAAATTAGTATTTTAAGAAACTGTAGTTGTAAATTGTCCTGGCAATTAAAAAAAAAAACAAACAAACAAAAAAAAAAAAACAGATGCTTTCATCTCAGCCCAAAATAGGATTATGTATTGCACTGTTTAGAAAATTATGACCATTAAACAAGTTTGACTTTTTTTCTTTTTTTGGCCTCCATTAAATATTTCCTGAAAGTGTGAAAGTGATAATTTTTGCCGGAGCTTTTGAAATAATGTATTGTTATTACACAGAGACTGGGAGAGGGAAGACAATTTTCTTTTTTGTTTTTTTACCACAATATTTTGACTGCTGTGCCCTCAAGTTTCTCTCAGCTTACAGGTAATATGAAAAAATTTAATTACAAATGTTAGCATATATAAAAGATACACATACACACTTCAGCTAATTAATACCAAGTCATGTAGCTAGTGTATGCAATGTGTGTGTGCATATATATGTGCATTATAGTGATTAGAATTGTAATAATAGTAACATCTGATGAGAATATTAGACTAAATTTTTAATACAAAAAATAATGGTTTATTCATTTCTAGACTGTCAATTGAGGGTATATGGTTTTGGGTCTTTCTTCAAACATCTCATCTTGTTTGCATGTGCAAGTTCAGTTGAGTTCACAAACATCCTTTGAAACTTAATTTTGCTTTTTGTGGCTTTAAGTCAAATTTCTGAGGTGATGCCAAGTACAAAACTTACTTTGCCAACACTTATGGTGAACTCAGTACATATTAGGGTCACCACAGATCAACTCTTCTTATATCAAAGTTTCTGATAGGCATTAAATTTGATTCACACCTCTGGTATTTCTTGGCATGAATCACATACTACAGAATGTTAGCATTCTATGAGACTGAATTTCATAAAGGTCAAAGGCAGTGACTTATTGATATCAATCTGAGAAGATGAAGTACTGCAAAGAAGTGCCTGAAATTCATGCTACAGAATTACAAAAGTGGAAACTGGAAGCTGACAATGGCTGTGCTATCCCAAAGTCACATGTCATCATGACCAAAGGCTTTAGCATATTAGACTTGTTTACATACTGATCACAACAGATCATCTGATCTACTAAAAAGCCTAAAGTCTGTTCAGCAGAGTTGTAGTATAAACAACATTTTAGCTTTGTGGGTATTGAAGAAAGTAAATGAAACAGGTTTGATTTGCTTTGTTTTATGCCATATCAACCTCAATGGGTCATTTAATGCCGACAACTTTTTTTTTTTCTGGTAATATTTTTGCTGTGTCAAAAATCCATTTCTATTAATATTTTTTTCCTCAAAAATGTATAGCTGGTAATATTATTTTTTCAAAAGCGTATAGATGGTAATATTTTTTTCAAAAATGTATTGCTGGTAATATTTTTTTTTTCAGAAATTTATTTCTGGTAATAATTTTTTTTACAAAGTATTTCTGGTATTAAAACCTATTTTTACACTTTTATAATGCTTTTTACCTCAGTTTCAGGGTTAACTATTTGCCCATAGCTGGGACTAACAGGTACTATCTCCTGGGTCAGGGTGGACCTGAGAACATCAGTAATTAAGAGGTAGTTCCATGCTCCTCAAAGCCTTCTGATCAGAGGTCTCACTGCTGGACGTAGTTTATCGTCTTACCCTGAACATGGATGTAGTTTATCATCATACCCAGGACGGAACTGAAACAGGGATTAAGTAGCCACCCCAGCAAACAAACCTACAAGCAGCCATTAGACACACACAAAGTTCTTTTGAAGTAACCATAGATTTCTTATTATTGATATTAATATAAGTCAAAAAAAAAAAAAAAAAAAAAAATACCTCAATATAATACTCGGCATTTTGATACATGAGAAGTGGAGACCAAAATTAAAGCTTAAATGACTAAATACACAAGAGAATTGAGATATGTTTCTGGGAACATAACAGCCACAGAAAGGGTCATGTGGCTAGATATGTTTGTTGAATTTAACTGAGGAAAGTACTCTCAAAAGTACCCAAAGCAACTATAAATCTTTGATTCAACAACTAATTTATCATAAGCTATATATAAAAAAAGAAAAAACTCTTAACATAAAAAGAAAAAAAAAATAAGTATATTAATAAAAAAAAAAAACAAAAAAAAAACTAAATACCAATGTACAAGCTGAAGTAACAATAGTCTATAGCAATGTTGGTTAAGAGTTCAATACTTTGATTGCAAATGGTCATGATAGTAAAATAATTCATTAGTACTGAGGGTAAATTGGTAAGTATTGTTTCATAAGAATCAATTTCATTACTGTTTTGAAAAACAGATTTCTCAGTCACTACAATCTTAGCCTGCATAATTCTAGGGTCAACTGTTATCTATCCTACATGTCCTCACAATCTGGCCTTATTATCTCCTCTTTCATCCATACAATGATCTCATTCAGTAACCAGTTACCTTGAGTGGCACATGTAGTGGGTGAACATTTATTAAAAAAAAAAAGATAGAGAGAGAGAGAGAGAAAAAAAAAAAGAGAGAGAGGAAAAAAAGAGAGAGAGAGGAAAAAAAGAGAGAGAGAGGAAAAAAAGAGAGAGAGAGGAAAAAAAGAGAGAGAGAGGAAAAAAAGAGAGAGAGAGGAAAAAAAGAGAGAGAGAGGAAAAAAAGAGAGAGGAAAAAAAAGAGAGAGAAAAAAGAGAGGAGAGAGGAAAAAAGAGAGAGAGGAAAAAAGAGAGAGAGGAAAAGAGAAAAAGAGAGAGAGAGGAAAAAGAGAGAGAGAGAAAAAAGAGAGAGAGAGAGAGAGAGAGAGAAAAGAGATAGAGAGAGAGAGAGAGAAAAGAGATACAGAAATAAAGAAAAGAAAAAAATGTTTATCCCAGTTATTTTACAAAATCTGCTCAAATTTTTTTTTTTATATTAACACATTGACTGCCAACTACAAGATAACTTGTAGTTAACAGTTTTTATTATGATGCTGACTGAGTTATGCCATGCTTAGCATTTTCTGCTACATTTTCATATGTGAGCACCAACAACTTTATTTCGCAGTGATATTTTAATGTGCAAACAATGTTAACACTTAATTTGAAGCTATAAATCAACTCATTAAAATATTTTGTTGCCCAAGTTGGCTATTATAAAGTTGGCATTTGAAGTCAGATTTCATAAGTGCCCTCTGGCAGTCAATGTGTTAAATTCCTTCTTAGTCAGGCTAATAACTTTTTCAATTTCCCAATGTGAGTGTGTGTATGTATATATATATATATATATATATATAAACAAATGTTTGGAGGTACAAAATTTATAAATAGTTTTAAAAACTAGGAAACCATTGATTTTAATATTAAAAGTCTCTAGAGCCCTTTCAGCCAACATCTCATCAGGAGACAATCGTTGGATTAGCGAAATGAATAATAGCGATATTGAAGAGCAAAAAAGAGGGGAACGCACTAAAATAACGAACAAGTATATATACTTGTAACGAGGAAGGGTTATCGTGTAAATAAATAGCGAGGACAGTTAAAATAAAATATCCCCAACAGATTTAGAGACCTTATAAATTCTTTCTGCCGGCAGAGAGAAGGTTTTCTAAATCCTATACAGACCGATTCCAAAATCTTCAAATGATTATTGGAATCGGCTGTATGAATAATTCTAAACCACTCTTTTTTTATACAACTTGGCACAAGCTATATTCTCAACTAAATGTTGAGCAATAGCGATTCCATATTCATGGGGGAAGATAGCATATTCTATCTATCTTACCAAGTCGTATTTTGGAAGGAACGTGCTGATTAATTCTAGTTTCCAAATGCAAGGTTGTACGCCACACATAACCAGCAGCACACTGGCAATTAAATTCATATACTAAATTACTCAATTTGATGTAGGGCAATACATCCTTGCGAAAAGACGGAAACGCAGACCTAGTTTGAAAAATGCTACGTAAAAGCAACTGATGGGAAACAACCGAAACCAACTTGCTAACCTGCTTAATTAAGCCCTGACCACTATCCCCAATCCAGGGAATCTTCAAATAAACCGGACATTTAGAAGGCCCTGGATTTTAGGGGGAATGAAATTCCTTAGTTTTCTTACTTATAATGTAGTCAATAAGGGCCTCCGGATAGCCGTTACTAAGGAAAATCTCCTAATGTTCCCAAATTCACGGTCCAATCTAATAGGGGAACACACTTTAAGCGCTCTATAAACAAGATTAATTTTCCTTGATGCAGGAGCAAATGAACGCCAATTCAAATAAAGTCCAGTAAAGGTGGGTTTACGATAAATGCTAGTAATAAAACCACCTCTACTGCGTTCAACAAAAACATCCAAAAAAGGCAGACAGTTGTCTTTCCCCTTCCATAGTGAAAGACAAAGGAGTTGAGCTCATTAAAGAACTCAACAGCCTCACTTTTATTAGAGAATGTTGCAAAGGTGTCATCGACATATCTAACGTAAACAAATGGTTTAGACACTTTGCCGAAAAGTAACATTTCATGGTAGCCCACAAAAATATCAGCCAATGCAGGGCCAAGGGACTGCCCATCTGGACCCCATCCACTTGACTATACATAATATTGTCAAAACTGAACTCCACCAACTAGTACATAGTATCATGAGTTCTATAAATATATCCTTAGGAAAAGGAGGTGGAGCAATGTTACCTTCATATAAAAAAGTCTGCACAGATATCAATAGTTTCCCTCAATGGTATATTAGTAAATAGACTGGACACATCAAAGGAACACATAAAATCAGTCTCAGGGCAAGACTGTATGGCCTGTAGGCGCTCAACAAACGTGAACGAATCAGGTATACAATGCTTAGCAAAAAATGTTTGGACCGGTTGTATGACCTGCAGAAGCCATTGAGCCAGAGAATGTTGGGATGAACCAATCATTGAAAGTATTGGTCTCAATGGAACGTCCTTCTTATGAACTTTTGGAAGACCATAAAGCCTTGGTCTAAGGGAACCAGAAGGTCTAATCCTGTCATAAGTCTCTTTAGAAAAGTAACCTTTTCTAAACAAGTATAATAGACGTTTCTGAATTTTAATTTCATTTCTGTACGTGTTGTCACAAGTTTCAACTGGACCAATTTTTTGAACTTTTCTGAATCATTCAAAATAGTCAACATCTTTTGGATGTAATCTACCCGTCCAGTAGAACAACACCAGCACCCTTTGTCCGGTTTACAAATATAAATATCATTATTAGATTTCAATGATTTAACAACCTTAAATTGAGTTTTTTGACCAGACAAAATCAAAAGAGTCAATAGAAGAATTACAATAACGATAAGCCAAGTCTTTCAACCTTGACTTCAATGTAATAACGTGATCCGATGAACAAGGAACATGGTGTTTAAGTTGGGAGAACAACACCTCAAATGCTGCCAGTGTCTCCTCTTTATCAATCTTAATCAGAGGAATACAAAATTGCAAGCCCCTCGACAAGACTGCACTTTCACTCTTTGAAAGGTGAAAACTAGAGTAATTGAAAATATGCTTACCTTCAGTACCAGAGTCACAACCATATCTGGAGCGAATAAGCAATGTAAGCTGTTTTTCAAATTTCGTGTTAACACGTTGTTTGGCAAATGCATCACCATTAGCCAAATATTTACAGAAACGAAAAAAGTCAAAGAAGGACAAAAAACTTTTAACTTTAAATAGACAACCATGTCTGAAGTTAATATAAAACTCAAGTTGCTTCAGCGACTTAATCTCATCTTGAATAAACGCCCGCTAGATTGTCAAACTAGGTCTAACCTTCGAGTGAAAAATTCTTTTGGAAATGAAGAGTGGTGCTACGTCTTGTTCTAAACAGGAACGTAGGAAAGAGATAGATAGTCTTAACGACCTAATTTTACTCTTTAATCGTAGTAGATTATTCAATTCTTTAATTTGTTGATGGGAGTACCTCTTCCTAAAATAAATAAACAAATGTTTGGAGGTACAAAATTTATAAATAGTTTTAAAAACTCAACTCCTTACACAATGGTTTGTCTTTCACTATGGAAGGGGAGAAAGACAACTGTCTGCCTTTTTTGGATGTTTTTGTTGAACACAGTAGAGGTGGTTTTATTACTAGCATTTATCGTAAACCCACCTTTACTGGACTTTATTTGAATTGGCGTTCATTTGCTCCTGCATCAAGGAAAATTAATCTCGTTAAAACCTTGGTGTATAGAGCGCTTAAAGTGTGTTCCCCTATTAGATTGGACCGTGAATTTGGGAACATTAGGGAGATTTTCCTTAGTAACGGCTATCCGGAGGCCCTTATTGACTACATTATAAGTAAGAAAACTAAGGAATTTCATTCCCTAAAATCCAGGGGCCTTCTAAATGTCCGTTTATTTGAAGATTCCCTGGATTGGGGATAGTGGTCAGGGCTTAATTAAGCAGGTTAGCAAGTTGGTTTCCGGTTGTTTCCCATCAGTTGCTTTATTAGCATTTTTCAAACTAGGTCTGCGCTTTCCGTCTTTTCGCAAGGATGTATTGCCCTACATCAAATTGAGTAATTTAGTATATGAATTTAATTGCCAGTGTGCTGCTGGTTATGTGTGGCGTACAACCTTGCATTTGGAAACTAGAATTAATCAGCACGTTCCTTCCAAAATACGACTTGGTAAGATAGATAGAATATGCTATCTTCCCCCCATGAATATGGAATCGGCTATTGCTCAACATTTAGTTGAGAATATAGCTTGTGCCAAGTTGTATAAAAAAGAGTGGTTTAGAATTATTCATACAGCCGATTCCAATAATCATTTGAAGATTTTGGAATCGGTCTGTATAGGATTTAGAAAACCTTCTCTCTGCCGGGCAGAAAGAATTTATAAGGTCTCTAAATCTGTTGGGGGATATTTTATTTTAACTGTCCTCGCTATTTATTTACACGATAACCCTTTCCCTCGTTACAAGTATATATACTTGTTCGTTATTTTAGTGCGCTTTCCCCTTTTTTGCTCTTCAATATCGCTATTATTCATTTCGCTAATCCAACGATGAGATGTTGGCTGAAAGGGCTCTAGAGACTTTTAATATTAAAATCAATGGTTTCCTAGTTTTTAAAACTATTTACTTTATATATATATATATATATATATATATATATATATATATATATATATATATATATATATATAAGTAAGATATAACTACATACTCCCAAAAATTATTACTAATGATAAAATACATGTGACTATGCACATATAAAAACTAAGAAAATGGAAATGTTGCAAACTTAACTTTTATGCCATTGAATATCTGTCTCATCATGCATTGTCCCAACTGGAAATAGGGAGTTGATTTTGAACATTCATATCAAGACAATTCATTACACACCTTAATTATCAATGTAACCAGCATATTTAAATAATTTTTTCTTTTGTTTTATAAAAATATAAAATAAAAAAAATCTTAATCCATTTAACTGCTTCACAATGTTTGAGTTAAAGGAAAAAAAAATTCTGTATCTCATTATTGATCTGGAATTCCAAACATTTCCAGATGACTGGTTAAATAGAAGGCATTTATTCTCTATAACTGAACTGATACATTAGCTAACAGGTTTGGGGGGATATAGCTAACTAATGAAATTATTGCTAAATTCCCTACACACTAAAAATAAGTTCACACAACTAGTGGAACTGTGACATTTTAAGTTACACCTATCTGTATTGCTCAGGGTCTTATAAATCACTATGGTTACCAACCAGAGGAGTCTGACTGGTCAGCAAATACTTAAGCCTACAATTGTTGAAATTCTCACTCACACAAAGAGGAGGACAGAACAAATTCTTAAGGCACAAATTGGTTTAGTAACCCATAGCAAAACTGCTACAGGCAAGTCTGAATTTTTATCAATTTCAGACTTATGATCTAAG